ATCCCCTGTGTCAGATTCTTTTCTTTTTTTTGTCTATGCCTTAGATTCTTTTTCTATTTATCTCTCTCCCATTCTTTCTTAGCCACCATACCTGGTCCCACCTGCCTAATATAGCTGTATTCTCTGCAAAACCTGTGTGGTAAACCCACACATAGAAGGAAAGCAAAGGCTACACGAGCCAAATGATCAGAACCAGTGGAAAGAGGACAAGACCAGACAGAGAGCAGATCTTAATAATAGTGAGGGCTCTGCTTTATATACATACAACAGTGAAAGGAAAATTCTTTTACTATCACCCTATTTTTCAGAAGGATAAATAGAGGTCTTGAGGATTCGAATTGACCAAGGTTACACACAGTTGACACATGTCACTTGTAACAATTTGTTCCCAGTTTGTTGTGAACCTGCTAGACCTTACTATCTTTTATGGCGAGACAGAGCAGACCTGGCTCCCACCCCTACCTCGTGTATCTTTTGATGAAGCTTTAAGGCACTGTTCTTCTGTTCAGTTGTAAAGTCTTCTTGGGCTCCGCAGTCTGAGACAGTGACTCTATCTATGATTCCATGTTCCCTCTATACCTGAGTTTTCTATCTCACTGATGTGACCAAAATGAGAGTGCTTGACAAAAACAAACAAACAAACAAACAAACAAAAAAACCCACTATTACCATCATTCCTGTCTGGAGACTTGAATTTGGCTCCCGATGTCAAGATAGAAGCATCCTGAAACAGGTGGCATGCTTCCAGTGCAGGGATTACCAGGCGGGCCCTTGAGCCGGCTTGGGCTCCATTAGGCAGGGTGGATTAAGGCTGCTGTAGGGATTTGGTCAAGCCAGCAGGGTAAATGAGCCATGCACTCTCTCTTTCTCCTCACCCCACACCCAAGGATCCAGACAGTCTACAGAGCCTGGTTTCCTGAAGCTGTATGGTCAATTCTCTCTGGCAGAAGTCAGAATGAGGAAGTCCAAGTTCAACTTGGCCTCTGTATAGTTTACAAATTAGGAAAAGTGGAACACTGAGCCAGTGCTTTTCCTGGAGTTTGACCTCACGAAGGACTGTATGAACTGCATATTTGAGGTGGCCGTGGCTGCAGACGGGCTTACATAGCACCACACAGCCTTTCCTTGCTCTTGCCTGGTTGGACAGGGTCACAGCTGTGGATTCTCCAGTGACATAATCAGAGCTCCCCACAAGCTCCTGGGTGGAGGTGGACCCTCCGTGAGCTTTAGGGAAAGCCAGGAGATTGACAGGAGGCTCCCACAAGAGTCAAGGCTATTTGTACTTAGAATGATAAAAGCAGCAAGGAAAGAAGTGGGTGGACACCAGACGTGGGAACTGGCGCGGGGCGGAACGGGACATGGAGTCTCTTGATTGGAGCACAAGGGTCACCATTCCCTGAGCAAGACAGAAAAGGGCAAGAGCAGGAGTTCAGTTCTGGGTTTAGGGAAAGCTGAGGCTCACACTTGACATTAAAGAGGAGAAGTCAAGTTCACAGTTGAATTTATGAAACCTCAATAGAATGATGAGGTGTCAGTAGCTAGAAAGAAAGTTCTAGCTGGGTTAAAGCTTCAGAGAATGTGTAATATTGAAAGCCATGGGAGAGACAGGCTCAACTGGGAAAACTGGACAGAGGGTGATGTCGGAGGCTAGGGAATCCTAACATTAGGAGGCTGAGCAGAAGGAAGCAGCCTTGTGACACGTCCTTCACTCAAAGACTAGGGTTCCAAATTCCTTCTCTTTCTCGACCACGCAAATACTCAGGGATCGATCATGACCAACAGGTGGCGCTACCACCATCTGATGCCCTTGAAGGTTTCCTTAGGGAACAACAGTAAGCCAGGAATGGAGCTGAGAATTGCAAAGAGTCTGGACACAAAGATGCTGCCAAACTCCACCTCTCAGCTCCTCAGTGTTGTACCAGATAATTCCTGCTAACCCTATTCACGGGTCGTGTACTAATCACACAACCACTTTTGACTTAATGAAAAGCAATTCAATGACAGCGTCAAGAAAATGCTTACAAATTTATAGGATAAAAGTTTAAGTCTTCCAAGAACCACAACAAGATAAAGGTAAATAATCCAACTGAAAAATGGGCATAGGATATGAACAGACACTTCATCACCAAAGAAGACATTCAGATGGC